CTTGATCCCTGATACTCAGCTTCAGCCACGCCAGCTTAATTGCTGGACCTTGAACACACCAAGCTTCTCCAGCCTCAGGGCTTTGCCCTTGCTCTTTTCTCTCTCTGACATTCTCTGCCCTCTGATTTGATTTGTGTTTTCTCTCTCTTTGTTCAGGTTTCAAGTGCCACCACCTTAGTTAGGTCTTGCCTAACTACCTTATCTCAACCAGTATCCCTTCCCAGCCCTGTCACACACCCATCTCAGTTCCTCTCTGCCTCTTTATCTAGCTTCATTTTTCTTCACCATTCTTATCAATACCTGAAACAATATTATATATGTATTTTGTTTTCTTATTTTATTCTTCACAGTCTCCTCCACTGTACTTCATGAGGGCAGGGTATCGTTTGTTTTGTTCAGTGAGAAAAATACCTAGCATGTTGTAGACACTGAATAAGTAGGACTTTACTTCAGTCATTATTATGATTATTGAAGTAAAGTATTTTTAAATTAATGCTAAAAATAAAATTTCATTAGTAACAAGAGTTTCTACATGGCTTGAGAGCAATATTCATTTTGATGGTTTTATTTGATTTAATTCCTTTCTGTAGGAATCTTGAACATTCAAGGATGTTAGGGACACATATCAAGTTTGAAACTGGTAATAGTAGTTGTAATAGTAATTATAAAAGATACTCTTATTCAGCCCTTATTAGTGACAGGTGTCTTGCGTGGATTATCTTATCTAATTCTTGAAACAACTCTAGGGGGTATTTATCACCCCAATTTACAGATGTGGTGTAGTGGTTTTAAAATATGTCTGCAAATTCTTTGACAGTTTTGGTTTACTTTGTTGGGTTTGGGGGGGCTGGATGACAACGGCATGTGCACACTCAAGCAACCCTATGAAGAGGCTCACATGGCTAGGAGCTGAGGCCTCCTGCCAACAGCCATGTGTGGGCGCCATCTTGGACGTAGATCCTCCAAACTCAGTCAAGCCTTTAAGTAACTGCAGTCCTAGCCAACATTTTGACTGCAACTCCAGATGAGGCTGTAAGCCAGAACCACCCAGCTAAGCTGCTCCCAAATCTCCAACCCGCAGAGACTGTGGGATAAGAAATGCCTTCTGTTTTAAGCCACTAAGTTTTGGGAAAAATTTACTGTGAAGCAATAAATAACAAATCCATTTGGATATGACAGAGAGGTTAAGTCAAGAGCCTCATAGCATAAAGCTAGTAGTGATGATGCAAGAACTGGAATCCAGGTACTCTGACTCTAGAGCCCACATGTTCAACCACTGCACCATACAGGAGGTCAAGATCACATCTCAAGTAATACCAGAAGGAGAATATTGCCGCATTCTAATGCCACTGTTGGGATAGTGCTGCAATCTTTCCTTGGAGGTCACACTGGCTGGTCTTGCTCCATCACGAGGTCATGTTCTAGGCAGCCCCTGCCTTTGCGTCTAAGATCCCCACCTGCCCCAGGCTTATTCCACCTATAGTGGACACCTATCTCCCCGCATCCTTTCCCCATTCCTTTGGGCTTCTGCTTATCTGTACCTCCAATCATATAATTCTGGTAGAGCTGTCAATCATTGTACTTTTCCTGCCCCATATGTGGGTGTATGACTTAAGCTGACCAACTATAGAGTACTATCAGTGAGTGACTACAGTAACTGGGCCAAAACAAGAGCATACGATTTACATCAGCCAAGCCCTCCCCTGGGATTTAGAAATACCATATGAAGTCTCTAAGCTGGGATGACGTGAGCTGCCAGGCATCATATTTTCAGCTGCATGGAGGAAGACTACCTTCAACAGAAAAGATGTCAGCATGCAGAAGGAGGCAGAGAGTGAGAGAGACCATTTTATATCCTTCGAGACCTTGAATCCAGCCAACCCTGAGAGCAACTCCATCCTTTTCTAATCTATGTGCGTCAATAAACTCTCTCTTTGTTTTAGATTAGTTTGAGTTGAGTTTCTATCACTCACCCTTGAGTTATGACTAGTATGAAAAGTCTATCCCAGTTTTTGGAAGACGGTGAATGTCTTCATTCTCTGTGAGCAACAATGGTTCTCTGTCATCTGAAGAACCTGGATTAGAACTGTCCATTGGTTGGGCTGACCTGCCCACAGAGGGTGAAGAAGAGCATTCCCTTCATCCTTCAGGAAACATCTGGCTTTTCTGGAAGCCAGTGATGGTCTGGGGGTAAGCTCAAAATAAAACAGCGTTATGATGGATGGGTAACTCAGCCACTCAGTTTGAAACCTTAGTCATCTCTATATCCTTTCTTTCTTCAGTTGTTCACCTCCTCCCCCAATTCTCAACACACACACACACACACACACACACACACACACACACACATCCTGTTAGTCATCAAGTCCTGTTGATTTGGATCAAATGCTTTATGGAAGTAGGTGGAGTAACCACAATGAAAGCTGGTGGCTGGTGGATTTTTCCTTCTGAACATCTTGCAAATCCAGTTTTTCCTCTGCATTTCTACTGTCACCATCGTGGACCAATGCAATTAGTCTCCCTGCCTCTAACCTCCACCCTTGCCATCCATTTCTCATATTTCTCCCAGAATTTGTTTTCTAAAGCACACTTTTGACCGCCACATGCTTTTGATGGATTTAAAAGTCTTCACCGGGTTTCCACTGCTGACTTGCTAAATTGCAAACTTCTTAGCTTGGCTTTCAAGACTCTCCATGAACTGGCCCACATTCACTCTCCAACATCCTATGACCTCTATGAATCAATCTTCTAGTCTTCTCACACCCCTCCCATTGTAGAACTGCTTACCAACTTCCCTTACTTCTTTCCCCAAGTTAAAACACTCTCCCTCCTTTTCTATGAGTCTTCAAGATCCATTGCAACGCTACCTCCTCCATAAATTATTCCCTGAGCATGCCAATCCACAGTGAATATCCCTTCTATGAATTCCGTAAACAATTGTTGTCTAGACGAGGGTTTTTTCAAACTGTGCTCATATTCTCAGGGAGTATTTGGCTAGAGCAAGTCAAGTTTTGGGAGTTTTTGTAAAACTACTGATTACATATTCAAATTTGGCTGAGTGTATTATTTCCATATCCAGTTTCTTTCTTGTCTTCTGCTTCCAAATTACATCCTCGTGCTATGGTTGTGCATTTATTCCCAAGTACAAATTAAGGATCATTAAAATTTGTTTTGCGACCTACAGATAGAGAACTGCTTATTATTAATGTTATTATGTAAAACCATGGCCACTGGGAAAATAGTATGAAAAGGGAAAAGAACCTCTATGACAATTTCCACAGTTTCTAAACCAAATACACTTTATTATTTCCACACTCTCAGCCGTTTTTCCCCCTCACTGTTTTAGTATGGAGGTTTAACTAGAAATTGGTATAAAATTTGTTGTATTGGCATAGTCTGACAAACAGTCATTGTGTACCTACTTTCTGCCAGGAATAGTGATAGATGCTTGTGACACAAAGATAAACAAGCCCCTGCGGGAGGAGGAAGAGTTTTCCAGATGGATTCAATGTAGAAGTACATTCTAAACAGAGGGAACAGCATATGCAAACTCACGTGTCCTAGAATGAGTGAGACGTGAAAACTCTGCGGTCCGGATTCTGTGGAATTTTTTTTAATTGAAAAATTTGGTGACTTTTAAAAGTTTGACAACCTCTGGATTAAACCCTTTCTCTTTGTCATATGTGCCTCTTTGCCATTTCGTTCTCCACAAGGGCAGCTCAGGGTCCAGATTCAGACACAAATAACCTTTACTGAGATCTGCTGGCAGAGGCCACTTCATAGGTCCATAGATCCTCTATTTAATTCTCCCATCATCTTAGGTGTTTATCAGCACCTCCAATTTAGACATGAGGAAAGCAAGGCTCAGATGGGTAAAGTGATTTGTCCCAAGTCTCACAAATAGGAAATGACCGAGGGATGATGTGAGTAACATCCACATCACATCTGGAGAGGTGACCAACTGGGCATTTTTTGGGCTGGGATGAGGAAGACCTTTCTTCCACTTTTCGAACAGCCTGCCGTCCCAGGTTCTAAGGTAACTACATCTTTTTTAGAGAGAAGGCTTTAAACAGAAGAGTGACCGTTTATCCATGATATTAGTAGGAAGAGATGACTTAAGGAGTTTGGACCTTAGAGAGCTTCTCCAGTACCTCCAGCTCTGGAGCTGGCACTTAGTAGGAACTCTTTTTGTTGAACGACTGAATCCTTCTCACGTGCGCGTGGTTAGTCCCTCCTCCAGGACTCAAAGTCCCTTGTGGGCAGGGTCCCCGCTGTGCCTGTCCAGGGACACTGTGCCAGGACACTGGGCAGAGTTTGGAAAACATCTGTTGAATAATGGATGAGTGAATGAACTCGGGGAGGGGGTTATGGCGGGAAGGCCACCCTGGCTCCAAAGACTTTCCAGGGTCGATGGGTGCTGTCCTGGCTCTCCCTAGTGCCTCTGGATGGGCCATTTCGTCCTCCTCCCTGTGGCCTCCCCATCTTACAGACCAGACCGGAGGGAGGGGCTATGCCGCCGGGGAGGCACCGCTCAGCCCCCAGGGGCAGGTCTCCCAGGGCGGCGCCCACTCCCCTCCCAGGGGTGGTGGTGGGGTGCGAGGGAGAGGTGAGGCCCCAGGCCGCTGAGTCCGCCTGGGGCCCCTTCTCTGCGACCTGCCACCGCAGACCTCTACCTGCCTCCCTGGCCGCCCCTTCGCAGCCCGGGGCCGGGTGTGCCCGGCGGGCACCTGGCCCGCCACCCCCGGGGGACCCCGCCGGCCGCCTCGGGAGCCCGCTCGGCGGGCCCGCGCGCTCCCCGGCTCGGGGACCGGTCCCCCGGGGCGCGGCCGGCCGCCGCCCCCGCCCCCCCGCCCCGGGGGCCGGGCCGGGCTCCCGGGGGGCGGGGACTCGCCCAGTGGCAGCAGCAGCGTCCGGGCCGGCGGCGGGCGCGGGGCGGCTTCCTGCAGGCGGCGCCGGGGCGAGCCGTTGCCCGCTGCAGCCGCCGCCGCCGGGTGGCCGGGTCGCGGTGCCGGGCGCTCGGGCCGCGTCGGTGCCTCCCGGGCGCGCTGCGCGGCCGTCGCTGCTGCCCGCGCTCGTGCCGCCGCCGCCGCCGCCGCCGCCGCCGCTGCCGGTTACGCCAGCCCCGCCGCCGCCCGCTCTGATTCTGCGCATAGGCAGCCCCCAAGCCTGTCATTCTGCAAAAACACAGTTTACTCAACACACCACACACACACTCGCACACACACGCGCGCACTCACACGCGCACACCGGCCCCCGCGCGCACACGCACGGAGGGCGCGAGCGAGCAGACGCGCACAACCGGCGAGCCAAGTTCCGCAGCCTGGCATGGCTTCTGGGGACCTTTACGAGGTACGGGGCCGCGGGGGCGCGGGCGGCCCTCGCCGCGGGCGGCGGGCGGCGGGCGGGCGGCGGGGCCCGGGCCGGGGCCGGGGCCGGGCGCGAGCCGGAGTTGCCGAGCCCGCGGCGGCGGCGGCGGCGGCGGCCGGAGGGCGGCGGGGGCCGGGCGCGCCTCCTCCCGCCCGCCGCCCGCCCGCCCTCCCGCGGCGCCCGCGCCCGCTCCCTCTTTCTCTTTCTCTCGCACACTCTCTCTTACTCCATCTACTTTGCGGCCTTGGAGGGGAAGGAGGAAGCCGGGCGGAGCCGGGGCGGGGGAGGTAGCGGTCCCGGGGAGGTGTTTCTCGCCCGACGAGCCGCCCCGAGTGCAGAAAGTACAGGTAAAAGTCGGCGCCGGACGTGCCGGGGACGCGGGGGGCCGCGCGGCCGGCGGGGGGCTGCGGGGCGGCGGGGCGCGGCCCGGGCTGGGCCGGGGGCGCGGGAGACGGGGGCGGGCGGGGGGAGCCGAGCCCAGCCCCGGCGGAGCGGGGTCCCGGGGGGCTGCGGAGGGGGCGGCTGGGTGGGCTTTCGGGGGACACCCGCCAGACCGCTCCCCGGGGCCACGAGGCCCCACCCTCCTGCCCCCACCTGCTGCCCCCGTCACCGGCTCGGAAGCCCTCCCGGCCGGGGCGTGGGGGCGGTCTTTGCGCGTGTCGTGGCTCCCTGGGGGCGAGAGGGGGCGCTGCAGAGGGCCCTCGGTGGAAGGAAGAGAACATGGAAGCCAGAGGTGGGTGGTAACACGTTGCTAGAGGACAAGGGATGTGAGCCCTGCTCTTGGGCCTCTGCGTCTCCCTCGGTGGATACCTGTCTCCAGGTCCACACAGGTAATGGCCAGCATTGGATACTTTGAAAGCGTCTCCAAGTGGTCAAGGAAGACGTTAATTTGGCGTCTTTGAAACAATGGAGAAATAGCTATGGCCCCTGGAGCTAGGTTTTGGCTAGCTCTGGATACGACTCTTCCTGCTTCTGGATTCTCGACGAGTGGACAGAACTAGAAACAGTCCCCACTCCTTGAGGAGAATGCCCCCAAAGAGGTGTTGGCCCCCAAGAGGAGGTTCAGGATAAGGAAGCTAAGAGACCAGCCATCTTTAACCAGAAGGCCTGCTGATCCTTCGAGAAACTAGCTTCAGTGGTCAGCCTGGACCTGGACTCTCTGAAAATGAATGCGTTAACACTAGCTCTGGTTATTAAGGCTTTGGGCTAAATTGAGGTGAATACCCTGAAAGGGTGGAAGTAGCCTTCTGGGTAGGAGACTGTAGGGGTGATTCACCCACAAGAGACTGTAGGGTGATTCACCCACAATGAGCTTTATTTTTTTGGGCCCTCTGGGCATCTGAAGCTTTTTCAGATGGTGCATTTGCTGGCTGATGTGAGAGAAGAAGGATGGAGAACAGGCAGGTTCGCATTTCAGCTCCCTGGTCAACCAGGGTTTTTTGGATGATTCTGGACTTGGTGAGGCCCAGATATGGACTGCTAGTCAGCGCCTCAGGTGGGGCCAGTGGATAATCTTGGCACGCCTTGAAAGAATGATGCAAGTTGACCTCTTCTCTACCCTACTGCCTTGTTCATCCCTCTACTAATAAGGAAAATGAAGTTGGGTAGGAACCTGGTGAAGAACTTTGGCAGATTGTGGCCAACGCGTCACCCACGCACTTTGATCTGTTTCAAGATGGTGGAACAATTTCTGAAACCAAAAGTTGAAGTACAGTAAAATGGAAGATTTGATTGAGCTTCCCAAAATATAACCAGCATTATGAAGACGTTGGCCAAAAGTGGATATTGTTCAGGGGCAAAGCTCCTCTCATTGGGAGCATGCATTTTTCTACTCATTGATACTGAGTCATCTTAGAGCTGCTGACCTTGTCTGGGTCAAAAGTTGCATCATGAAGGCGTTGAGAGGGCATATTAGGGAGTTGTCAGTATTTCTCCATTTAAAGTTTGGAACTTATAGAACCTTCTGGGGATAATTTCTTGTTTAATGTTCATCTGAAACTGCCCTCCTTAACATTGGTAATTATAGTTGCCAGATGAGTCTATTAAGAGGGGAGTTTTTATACTGGCCTTGGAACTATCTTAGCACATCAAGAGTTCTTACTGAAGTTCAATAAACAGGACAATAATAATAATTACTTCTGTGTTGGAGGTAATGGTACTAGATGTAAAATAGTTTTCCCATGGCTGATTATTCGCATAGTCATTACTAAAAGGGGTAACTTGTGTTACGAGAATATAACCAAAGTCAACATTTTTATAGCCTGTGTCTACATTACACAACATATACTGAGGAATTTAATTTGTTGTCCAAATTTAACTTTAAAAACAAGTGCTAAACTGCACCTTAGCATATATATTCCTAACTGTAAAATTGTTGTGTGTGTAAAAAAATAGGATGTTGATTTAAGGACAGATCTTGGAATATCCAGTACATTGATTGACCTTGAAAGAAAAATAAAGAAGAAAACTCATCTCATTCTCAATTATGGCATTGTGTTAACTAAATATTACACTCAAGCACATATAAAATGGCCTCTTGTAACCTCTAACCAAGAAACCACATTTTGAGTGGGCTGAGAACTAATAGCAATTTGTAATTGATGTGTTTCACCTGTGCGTCTACTGACATTATTCTTGAGCTTTCATGGCGAAGATGTGATTTGAATTGTAGAGATTCTTCGTCTTCTCTTTGGTATTTCAGACATTAAATTGTAAAGAGTAAACCTTCCGCCAATAGCATTTTTTAGGAATAAGTGCTGATTTTAAAGATCCCAGGGGCTGGCTGCTGTGGCCAAGTGATTAAGTTTGTGCACTCTGCTTTGGTGGCCCGGGGTTTTGCTTGTTCGGATCCTGGGCGCGGACAAGCCACCACTCATCAGGCCATGCTGAGGCGGTGTCCCACATGCCACAACCAGAAGGACTTACAGCTAGAATATACAACTGTGTACTGGGGGGCTTTGGGGAGAAGAAGAAGAAAAGAGGAAAAAGAAGATTGGCAAGATGTTAACTCAGGTGTCAAGCTTTAAAAAAAAAAAAGAAAAAAGATCCTAGAAAATGAAAACTTTTTTTGTGTAATGGTACTCTTCAGTCACAATGAAGAAATATGGGATCAAGCTCAGTTGCCAAAATTTTGGATCTTGATAGATTGTTTTGCTTTGTTTGTCCTATAGCAGAGATCTCATCGTCTGGTGTGGTATAGCCATCACCTATAGGAAGCCGATCGTAAATATTGGTTGGTCTTTTCAGAGTCAGGTATCTGGATACAAAATGATCTTCCTTATCCAGATGCTGTGGTCTGCATTCTGCTAAACGTGAGGTCATAAAGTGGCAGTCTGTCAGCCATGTCTGGGCTATGTATTTTGCCTTGCCTCGAGAGTAGATCAGAAAAATGGATTTGAGTACCTTTAGATGGAGCATGTGATCTCTAGTTTGTTGTTGTCCCCGTGCTCCCTGTGACCATGCACTCATTCTGCTTCACTCATATTTATGCAGCTCCAGTTGGCATTAGAGTTTGCAACCTCAGGATTGCAGTCAATCATTCTCTAAGATGTTTGGGTATCAGGAAGACATAATCGGTAGAATAAGGAGTCCAGTTCTCTCGTCCATCTCTGTGTCCCTAACTCCTTGCCCATTCAAATACTTGTTGACTGAATCAGTGAAGGGAATACCAAATTAAGTACATTAGTCCCCCTCATCCGCGGGGGATATGTTCCAAGACCTCTAATGGATGCCTGAAACCGCGGATAGCACTGGACTCCATACATACTATGTTTTTTTCCTATATGTACGTACCTCTGGTAAAGTTTAATTTATAAATTAGGTACCATAGGAGATTAACAACAATAATTAATAATGAAATCGAGCAGTTATAACAATATACTGTAATAAAAGTTACTGTAGATCTTAGCAACCTCAGCATGCGATTTTTTTCCTTTCCTTATCGAGTGGAGAACTTTCACGTTTTCACTTAAAGGAAGCACTTCATGGCTTCTCTTTGGCATATCCGAATTGCCAGCATCACCACTCTTGCGCTTTGGGGCCGTTATTATGTAAAATAAGGATTCCTTGAGCACAAGCACTTGGGTACCGTGACAGTCGGTCTGATAACCCAGATGACTACTGAGAGATTAAAGCTCAGGTAGCGTATAGAGCGTGGATACACTGGACAAAGGGATGATTCACGCCCCAGCTAGGATGGATTGGGAGGGTGCAAGATTTCATCACACATCTCAGAACGATGTGCAATTTAAAACCAATGATTGTTTATTTCTAGAATTTTCCATGTAATACTTTTGGACCTCAGTTGACCGCGGGTAACCCAAACGGCGGAAAGTGAAACCACGGATAAGGGGACTGTTGTACCCATAAACAACCTTGGGTGACCTTTGTTATCCTTGTGTTGAGTGTTACCCTCTGTTCTCTTTTCTTCCCTGGCTCATGGTCTCTTGGTGGTGGTAACACCATGGGTAGGGGTGACTCTCTGGAAGGAAGTGTGGCTGAGTCCCTTTCCAGAGAACTGGCCTGTTATTCGTTGGAAAGATTGAATGTCACCCATGTGGCTTTCCCTGTGGCTGTTGGGTGGTATTTCAAACCCCTTCCCTTGTGATTAGCTGACATTGTGGAGGAGGGCTCCACTTCGTTGGCGAAAATGTTCAGAGAGAGTGCTGTATGTCTGTAGAGAATGTCAGTAGTGGCCAAGTTGAAATTTATTGAGATGGACTTGACAGCATAGTTCCTTATGTGATTGTCAACATTCTATTTATTTATACTTCCCAAAGTTCTATCTCAAAAGGTTGAAATGTGCTATATGTCTTTTTTGGGGATTGATAAACAGGCAGGCATCCATATCTATGTAATGTGTACATGTGTGTTTATATATATATATATATATATATATATATATATATTTCTAATATAAACTACTGCTTTCATTCCAAGTAAAATAAATAACAATAGGATAATTTTAGTTTTGTTGAAAGAAA